AATGAAACTTTTCTAGATGGAAATCCTATTATTCAGTAGTTGAGTGTAACATCGTACTCATCTTTCTCAATGTCTAGCAACTTCTATTCATTTTACTGCCTCTTAGTATTGCTGTGAGAAGCTAAAGAGAAAGGAAATGACGTTGAATGAACCGTTTTCAATATTTGGTTTTGATAAAACTGTTCTTTTCAATTTTTGGTTATGTTAAATGCTTCAAAATGGCCAGCAAGTAATATGAAGAATAAGTACATTCTCTTTTTAAATATAAATCTATGTTGTGCAAATTTTAGTGTCACTTTTCTCAAGGGTTTTATCACAAGCATATTTTCTTTAAGTTTTCAATTTGATCACTCTTTGTTTCCCAATTATTATTTTTTTAACCAAGAAAATCTTCCTCAAAGTCTGTTATTGCAAATATCTCACTATTTGCACTTTGGCATATTTGGGTACAACAGATAAACAGCCACATGTCGAACTTAGGAAAACCTATGGTTACAGTTCGAGGGTGCCAGGGACTTATACTAATCACTGCTAAGCCTTCGACACAAAAGTGTGTGGTCAAACTACTACAGAAATATTTTGAATATGTTAAGGCTGGGAATGTGGCCTAGTGGTTGGGTGCTTGCCTAGCATGCATGACACTCCGCGTTCGATACCTCAGTAACATATACACAGAAAAAGCCAAAAGCGGTACTATGGCTCAAGTAGTATAGTGCTAGCCTTGAGCTGAAGAGCTCAGAGATAGCGCCCAGGCCCAGCCTGAGTTTGAGCCCCACGACCAATAAAAAACAAAAGCAAACAAAAAAAGACTAAGTTGAAAGAACATGTTTAAGAGTTTCTTAGAGAAAGTTTTGTAATATGTACAATCTTATACAATATGATTCTAGGCACATATAAACCTTTAATGAAAATTATTATTTAGAAGTAGCAACAAATACAACAATAATCCCTATTGTCTATTTTTAATAACTTTTGTCAATAATACTGATCAAGTGACAAGCTGTCCAAGCCCCCTGACACACTACAAAGCGTCCTATTTCTATTAGAGTGGCAGTGGAATTTAGTCCAAATAGTATTATCTCACTTAATTCTGTGCCTATAAGAACAAAAATTAGACTCCATTTCAAATGAAGAACAAGGTATGGGACAAAACTAATGATGCCCATAATGGCATACCATGTACTTGAGAGCTAAGTGGATGCATATTATGAATTGGCCATGCTCCATCAGGAAAACAGCAGATCTGTGTAAGGTGACAGAAGCTGGCCCAAGGTCTCTTCAAAACCAGATAACAACGTGGAGTGTAAACCAGTCACTTTCCAGAGAAAAGACCAAGTACACAGCCAGGCCTGGGAAAAAGTCCGACAAAGCAGTCCCAAACATACAGCCAGAAGCCAGCAGACAATTGTGATCAAATCTCCCCTGACAGAAACTTCAAGTACTATTCTGTGCAATGAAGATCTTCTGCATAACATCACAGATGCTGAACCTGTTTCCACCATTTTCAAACCATGAAGGTAGTTTTGCTTGTTTCTTTAAATCTTACCATAATGTTTTTATTATTATTATTATTATTATTATTGCTTCATTTGTTGAAATAGTTTGGCTTTTTCCCTCCAATGTTTCAAGCAGTACCGATGCAAAGCAACAGAACCAAGATTTACAGAACAGGCTTTTAAATCCACTAGCTCTGCTCATATTTCATTGTGTGGCCTGTGGCTAATTCCACTGAGGTTTTCTCAGTAAGGACAGGTAATTGAAGATTTAGGATTCGTACATCTCCCCTACAAACTCTGGAATCAGCACATCAGTGAGTATGACAGCTCCTTCCAGCCAACAAAGCAGAAAGATATGTCAGACCACTATCATTAAGTCTGAAATTCCTTTCTAAAGTAGCTTAAGGAAACCCAGGTTTTGTATGGTTGGTTGGTTTGGGTTTTTTGTATGAGTGATTAGTATTTGGCTTTAGTTTGGGGATTTTATGGTGTTTTGTTTTGTTTTTTATACTCAGGGACATTCTTTCTAGACAAGCACTCAACATACCTCTAGGCCCTTTTTGCATAATTTTCAAGATAGGGTCTCACTGTATGGGCCAGCCTGGGCTAAAATTCTCTTTTTTTTTTTTTTTGCAGCGCTGCTAGGATTTACAAGAAAGTACATGATAACAAGTATGTACTATTGTGCCAACCTTTAGGTAAAACTGAGTCTCCAAAACTTAATTTGCCTGTGTGGTCTCAAACCATGATCCCCGGTCTCAACTACCCACAGGTTTAAGCCACCATGCCTGGCTCAAATAAACCTTTATTTTAATTTACCAATAAATATGTCTGTTAATACCATAGGTAACAAGTACCTTTAGATCAACGGATAGATGGATGGATGGATGGATGGATAGATGGATAGATGGATGGAAAAATAGATGAATGAGTGAATGGACTAATACATTTGTATATACTTATCTTATATATCAGATTTATAATGCTGAAATAGACTTGTCTCTTATCATAATACCCTACTATTGGTTACATGTAGTGAGCACCATCAGGAAATGATATAGCGTAAGCCCCATTATAATTTCTATTACAAAATGTGTAATTTATTTATCAGGTCATAAAACCATATTTATACTATATTCCTTGTATCATCAAGAACTGTCATTTGCAGAGATCCACAGCTACTTTGGAAGGAATATCTTTTTCCACACTTTTAGAGAATATTTATGTATGCCTATCTCTATGCTTGGCATTAAGTTTGCAAACCTGAGTAGGATAATGATCTCTGCACTCCAGAAACAGGGAAGGTGAGAAAGGTAAACAAACAATAACAAATTAATAAACTGAGTCGATTTCAAAGAGACAAATAATTTGGGTCATAAGGAGAAATAAGCTAAAACATTGCCAACTTTATTTAACAGATACAACCTAACACAATTAGTTCACATATATAAACAACCCTCATAAAGACTTTGTATCAAGGAAATATGAATCACAGTAGCATTATAAAAACATGAGAAACATTATAAAACAGCGAGAAAACCTGTTCATACATCTTGGCTCAGGCTTCCCTTTCACAGACGTTGGAGGTCGACCCAGAATATAAACTGGGATGACAGTCTAGTGGTCTTCGCTACTACCACAGTGAAGAAACAAGTCTGCCATTACTTTCCAAATTAACTTTTAACATCTCTTTCAGACACAGAAGATAGTATTTTATATAGTGGTCTTAAATGTTATTGCAGATTAAATTGTATAGAAGCTCCTCAAAAGTAAAGCATTTCTGATGAATTCTGAATTGGCTCCACACTGATTGCCATTGTTTCTAACCGCTACTTATGAATAATTTAGTAAAAACAAAAAAAAGGAAAAAAGTAAAAGCCTATCAAGCTTTACAAAACAATTTAAAATATAAAATTTTTCTTTTAAAATATTTCAAAATTACTTAACACAAATCATCATAATTCAAAACAGACAGAATAATCACAAATGCCAACATAATGAACATATTTACACAAACTTCTCTAAATTACATATAAACATGCATTTTTATTTTAAAATATCCCTTTAATATAAACAGAAATTCACACACTCTGAGGACATTAAAAAAATGATATACAAAGCAACATTAGGGCCTCCAAATGTCCGAAGTTTACTAAAGCTACAAAGCTGATTTGATGTAAAAGATAACATGGAATGTGACAAACTTGCTATCAGGCTCTCCCTAATCAAGTATTTCCAATAGAATCGATATTATGAACTACCCGATTTACTTTATTCTTATATTATTTTATTCTTTATTATTTACTTTATACTTTAAACAATGAAACAACTAAGTTCACTCTGAGGAAAAGGAAGCAAGCTAAGCTTTGTAAAGAATGTTTTCCATATTCTGTACTTTTGAACATCCTTAGTCTGCTGCCTATTCCAATTAAATGTCCTTGTAAAGAGAAATACATTTACTTTAGAATTCATGCATGAAATGAAAGGAAATCACTAATTTCCAATTAAGATAAAACAGAAAAATAGAGTGTTTACATTTGTTTTCTGCAACACATGATCTGTTTCTCTGACAGAATATGCTAAAGCATAGCTGAATACAACGCTACCCAGCTTCTAAAAAGGAACTCTTCTCTTCTTTTAGGCAGCAATTTCTCTGGTAGAAACTGCTTAGACTTAAGAATATCTGTCACATGTGTAATAGTCACATCTGTATAAATGCTACTGAATGAGGCCTAGATTTAGAGTAAGGCAGGAATTGGTTTCACTTCTTTCTGCCACAAACATTCTCCCTCGCCCCGTGCTGAGATGAAGTCCCATCTCCATCATCAAGCAGCCGTGTAACCATGGCCAAGTCAGTCACCTCAGTCTGACCATCTTTAAAAGGTAGCTGTATCCTCATCTTCAAGGTCCTTTCTGGGTTTAACACTATGAGAAGATCAAGCTGCAATGATATATTAATATAAGCATCTTAGTATCCAAAATATCAAGGTTTAACTTCTCTAAGATGGCATGTTATCAAAAAGTAACAAAACTCTCCATAGTAAGTTTGCTATAGCATTCTCTAATAAGTAGACTAGTAACAGAACTTGACATCCCTAAGACTATTATTATTATGAACTTATACACAGAATTCTAAACGATCTAAAAATACAAGCTGGTTAAATGTCAACATTATTATTCCCATTTAAGGAAAGGAGAAATTGAGTCTCAGTGCCCTCAGAGTGATTGGCCTTAGTCACAAGACAGCTAGCTCAACATGACAAAAGTCCCTGGCTCTCAGCCATTACCTTTTAGGAGTTAAGGCAATTGGGCCTCCCTAGTCACTGGAAGGCAGAACTAGAAGGCACGAGAATTATGTAGAAAACTTGAGGCAAATTCAAGTCTCACTCAAAAATTGGGAGTGATCATTTGATACAGTTTGAATGGTACTCAAAAACTGTCTCAAGTCAAATTCACATAATTTCAAAAACTCAGGTGGACGTTTCGTCAAAACGAATTCAAAGAATGTCTCAGTCATTTGGCTAAGATCCAGTGTGTACCAGTTATCAGTTTAATATCTGATATGCCCTCTTAGGAAAATGTATTAAATGAATATCTGAAATGGAGAGATGGGACAAGGACTTGTTTTGTCCACTCCAGCATCAATACCCAGGGACCTGGTATTACAGTACCTTCAGGAATGGTGCACCCCTTCAGGGAAACCAAACACTTGTCAAGCTGGGCTTGCTAGTTCATACCTGAAATCCTAGCTGGCCAAGTGGGCAGGAGGAGTGTGTGTCAAGGCTGGCCCAGGCAAAAATTTGAGACCCTAAAATCAAAAAGGTCTGAGGACAAGGCTGAAGTAATACAGTACTGGTCTTGCAAATCTGAGGGCCTGAGTTCAAACCCCAGTAGAAAAGGAAAAAAGAAAAAAAGAATTAGGAAAGCACATGGTAGAATCCATAGTTGTGCAGACTTATTTATAAATTCAATAAACTTCTTCATAAAATAGGAAATTCAGAATGGTGAAATAGAAAAAACTCTTCTGTTTAAAAATATTATTGGTTTTTATTAAGTTACAAATATAAATATATTTACTTTATCTCCATCTGTATCACCATCCACATTGACCCCCCTAATTGTCCATATTTTAGCTATACTTCCTACACAAAAGTATTAATTTGTAGACTTGATAAAACAATTGTTTATGCTAATAAAAATGATATTCATTCACAGTCACATACTTATTATAGGTACACATTCTTTGAGTTTGGATGTACCAAATGTGACTTCAAAAGTTTACAATGACTTTTTAAATTAATAAAAATATACTTTTAGCAATTCATTTATATTAAAAACATACTATGCTATCCATAGACACCCTGATTCTTTCTTTACATACTTGTTCTTTCTCAGTAGTGACAAAGTCAGAGACAAAGTAAGTACAGTGTAGCTATAAATATTAAGCTACTTGATAACCCTTCTGGGGTAGCTATCATAAATAATTTTAAGTATGCCAATCTGATGGAATCAATATGTTATTGTTGTAGGTCTTATTTTGCAACACATGATATTGCATCTTCAGAAGTCAAATTGCATTTTGTCTACTATTTATGTCCACTCAAAACTTTTTTTTTGTCTATGTCCAAAGCTATTTACAGTCTTTTGTCTTCCATAGTTGTTCCAAGTATTTTCTACTAGACTTTTGCCTTTGTTTTTGGTGTCTTTTGTAAATGAGAGTATCTATCTACCTGTGACATAACAAAGTCTCATAATCTTTGCTTTGTGGATTAAAGTTTCTCAACAGACTTCCAAAGACACTTCCATGAAGTCTCTTATTGTTCTACTAATCGATTTCCTTACATCACCCTTGACTTTTATTTATGCTGTTAATACATTTGAACCTTTTTAACAGATGGAGGCACATATGGCTAGAAGCCATGTCATATCAGTTGCTCAATAATCCATGCTCTTCCTATTTCATTCAAATGTTGTTTTATCATTTCAGAAAGTTCTATTATGTACTGGACATGTGTCTGGATTTTCTTACAGATTCCATTTTTCTACCAACACTGATCTTTAGATAATAAATTTCAGTTCTGGGCATCATAACAACACTCCCTTTCAATTTCAGTTTAAGTATCATTTGTATAGATAAAATAGTTTTTATATGTGGTTTTTAAAACCAATACAATAAAAATCAGAAGAGTACTGTACAAAGTGTTCAAGTTTACTAACCTAGGAAAGAAAGCTCTTAATTTCCTAAAGGGTTTGCATCATAATTTTGAACAGAAACATACTCAAAAATGAGTAAAACATGTTTGCATATGTAATAGACTTTAACTGAAACTTTGCAACTACCAAGTTTATTGTACAAGTCCAATACACTATAGTCAATCATTTCATTTTACCAGAATACTACCAAATTTAGTGTACAAGTCCAATACACTATAGCCAATCATTTCATTTTACCAGAATATTTGTGCTGAAAACATTTTTCCATGACTTTATAAGAAAACAGATTTAATAAAACAGATTCAAAAATGTCTAATAAATGTTCCCTATTTTTATATGCCACGATTTATACGCGCCTGCCTAACTTTAAACAGGCCAGTGTCTGGCCCAATTTAAAGAAAAACATTGAGGCCACTGAAAACTAACTGCAATGTCAACCCACTTTAGAAAAAAAGCTATTAGTAAAACAAGGGTGAAGTTAGCAGCAGTAGTGAAAAGCACAATACATACACAATGAGACCCATTCAAGGTACTAATGAGACATTCAGGCTTTGCTGCTTTAGGACAAGAGACAGCAGAACCAGTTCCCACACGCGCACAAGTTTGTTTATTTTATTTTGCTTATCTGCAATCAGGGAAAAAAAATATGATCCCAGTGGTTTGGAATGGCTTGAAGAAAAATGTTTCTCGGCTTGTAGGGGAGAGAAACCGCCTGGTTTTCAACCAGAGTAACTAGCTGTTTTGCTCATGTGAATGACAAAGCGCATGATTGAAAACTGAAATACTTAACACCATAAAAGGCATTATTCTTTCTTATTCTCCGCCTCTAACATTTTTAGCCATGTTTTCAAGAGGAGGTAAAGAGATAATGAGTACCTTCTCAATCATTCTGGAAGTTCTATAGAGTGTGATTCGTGAGTTACTGTTGAGGTAAATAGACTAACAGAATTAAGTTTTCTGTACTTGAGAAGATGTGAAATGAACTTTCATAATTGATGTTTTCCAGAAAGCCAACAAATAAGCAAATACGAATGACAGAGCTGTTTCCACTTGGAGCCAAGCTAACTAATGAAAAAACAGTATCTTTTATAGAGCTCAAATGCGGAAAGAAAACTAGCAACTATCTATATCTGATATAAAAAGTAAAAGGTAACACTATTCTTTGAATGGGATGAAAGGGGATTTTGTAACATTAAAACTTCCTTTTCAAGGGCAATCTTCTAACCAAATCATTTACTTCAAAAACAGGAAACAGCAGCCATGCAAGGTTATGGGATTGGCCCTGAGTTCAAAGCCCAGTACAACCAAAACCAAAAAGGGAAGGGAGGCTTAAAAAAAAAATCAGTGATAAAATTTTAAACTTTCATACACTGCTTCTAGCTTAAAACCGTATTTTTAATGGCAGTGCTATGGTTTGTACACAGGTCTTCAATGCTGGCTCCGCTAGGCGAGCACTCTACCACTTGAGCCATATTCTCAGCATCCAAAAATGTTTTTATAACATATATGTATATATATTTTTAAAAATTGAAATATATCTAGGCTGTTTTCTAAGTGTTCTTCATGATTCGCAAAAATGATCATTTGCCTATTGACTCTCAAATGATGGCACCACACTGTTCTTTAGTACTTGAGAACCTACAACGTATAAAACCATGTTCACACATGGCTTTGAGAGAACGTGATTTGCTGGAAAAGCCTGTGAAAGTATTCTATGTGCTTTTCAGATCAGAAATCTACAAGAGGAAAGCCATTTTAACTTCATCTACAGAAAAGAAGAGCCTTCACCTTCATCAGGGAGAGCAGGAAAGCCCACCACAGATACAGAAGGCTCCAATATCCATTTCTTCAATTAGCTCCTAACCACATCTGTGGAATGCCCTGTTGTTTGGTAACTCGCTAAGAAGGCCTTTCTAAATCTGCTGGCTGTCATTCATTTAATTGCATATTGGGGCAGCTAATTAGGGAAGGCACCTTTCTGTTTAAGAAATACTGCCTCAGGTGATGCTTGAGTTAGTAGCCAACTTTCACCCCACACCAGTACTCACTCCTGAATCAATGTTCTGTCTTGAATACCTACCACTCCACTTGTGGAATGCAACGTGCCTCCTCCACCTGACCACCAAGATTCCCCCTCCAGAAAGCCACAAATTATAGCGTCCAATTGCAAGAGGTAAAGCCAAAATGAGAGGGAAAGAAAATTTTCCACTAAGAAACTAACACTAACGATCCATAAATAAACTACAGAATAAGTAAAACAACATGGGCTTGTCCGCCTGCTATCACCCTCACTTTTAGGAAGAATAAAAGAATCCTACACAATCTCATTCTGATCTGAAAGTAAGAATGAACATTCAACCGAAACAAACCAAAAAAAAAACCACCAAGAACTGAAACCAAAACCAAAACAAACAAACAAACAAAAAAATATGCTAAACCTTGTTCTGTTTCCCCCATAATTCTGAAGCTGCTATGTGGAGCATTGCAAAATTACTCACTAAACGAACCAAATCCAATTCCCTTCTCTCACACAGTTCTGGGTTTGCGCAGGTAAACAGTCGTTTTTCTTTGTTTCGCTACTGGCATCTCCTTTAGTTAAGATGTGAGAAATATGCTCAGATAAGCAAGACAAAATCAGAGCCCAAGGTCTCAGAACTAGACCTGGAGAGTGGGAAAGTACAAGGCCCTTCCCCTTCCCATACAGGGCTGCTCAGAGGTAATGTGTCAAGTAGCTCAGTGAGTAGCCATCATTCATTGTTCCTTCTCTCAAACACCAACACTAGTGTAGGTATGGTAGGAATGAAAGCTCTATCAAACAGCAAAGAAATGTTTCCAAACAAAACATATTAAACTTGGATCATGGTGTACACACAAGGAATTTAAAATAGAATTACAAGAACTCGCTGCTCCAATTTCATTTACAATTCTTCAAGGCAAATTTCACCGGTATATTATTTGTGTATTGTACTTATGCAAAGGACACCATCTTTGTGGAAAGCAAGGATGTCTGTGAGCCAAGCTCTGCCAGATGAAACAAGTCCTGCTCACGTATTGTGAATGAGCTTTTCTTTTCCTGGTCCACAGGACCTTCAACATAAAGCCTGTGGAAATGAGGATAGTCAACATATTTCCAGTGACTGGGGTCTTTTTTCTCTGTGAAACAACTCTGAGAATGTAATTTGGCAGTACAAACAGAAGGAACCAGACAGGTCACCATGGTCCACTGGATAATCTACTCCACATCAGTTTTCATTTGCCAAAGTCTAACATACAGGTTTAAAAAAAAGACACTCCTCTAAAAAATGCTTTCTCCTAACAAATTGTGTCTTGATTATGTAACAGCAGTTATCATCTTCATTTTAAAATGTTCTTGTGTCCAGGATTTTTCTTGCTGCAAATATTTTCACATATTCCTAAACCTCTCGGTTGTAGTATTGGTGTCTAGTATGTAAAACAAGTAGTCTGGCTCAGTGATTTTT